ACTCTCTATGACATATTTTGGTAGCTTTTCACATGGTTATTTGTCATCTGTGTATCAAAATGGTACAATCACTTTGGAAGACAGTTTGGCAGTTTAAATAAAAAAAAAAAAAAAAAAAAAAAGATCCAGCAATCATGCTTGATGTTTACCCAAATGAGGTGAAAAATTACGTCCCCGCAAAAACCTACACCCAGATATTTTATAACAACTTTACTTATAATTGCCAAAACTTACATTCTTCAGTAGGTAAACTGATAAACTATGGTATATCCAGACAATTAAATATTATTCTGTGCTTTAAAAAAAAAAAATCTATCAAGCCATGACAAGGCATGTAGAAAATGTAAATGCCTATTAATAAATGAAAGAAACCAATCTGAAAAGGTTACTAGCTATATGATTCCAACTACGTGGCATTCTACAAAGATAAAACTATGGAGACAAAAAAATCAATGATTGCCAGGGGCTGTTGGGAAGAGAAAGATGAACAGATGAAGCACAGAGGATTTTTAGGGCAGTAAAACCACTCTGTATGATATTATAATGGTGGATACATGTCATTATAAATTTGTCCAAACCTATAGAATGTACAATACCAAAAGGGAACCCTAACAAACTATGGATCTTGGTGTGATAATGTGTCAATCTAGGCTCATCAACTGCAAACGTTCCACTCTGCTGCAGGAAGTTCATAGTAGGGGAGACTGAGCATATGACCAACAGTAAAAAGATAAATGGCTGACAGGAGTTCTGGGGTGTGGGTGGAGGGATGAATAAGTGTAGCACAGAGCATTTTCAGGGCAGTGAAACTATTCAGTATAATACTGTTATGGTAGATACATAACACTATGCATTTGTCAAAACTCACATAGCTGTACAACACAAAAGGTGATTCCCCCATGTAAACTACAGAATTTAGTTAATAATAATGTAATAATATTAGTTTCAAAAGCTAGAGCTTGAACTAACTCAAAAGGTTAATAGGAGAAAGTTTACAGGAGAGATAGGATACACAGGAACTTATCGTGCTCTTAAGAATAAAACTGCTGTTGGGTTTTTTTTTTTTTTTTTTTTAAGTCAATAAAGAGAAAACAGGGAAACAAGACTACCTGATTCCTACAACCCTAACAGCTGGAGTTTTAAGTTCTAGTCATGGATTCTAGACAAGTATTTTTAAATGGAGACATCAACTTTTCTTGTAGCATTACCATTTATATATTAGGTACATCTATACTGGATAATGAAAATGCCATTGAGAATCAAAAACTGACCAACCAAATCTCAAGTAAGCATCTACCTTTGCTTACTTCATTTGAATAGGCAAAATCAAAGCCAACATATTCCTAAAAACTGTTTCTCAAAATGTGAGTCAATGGTACTCTAGGAATACATATCCTAAGGCCTACTGCTCTAGAACTGCTGAATAAAACTCTCCTTTTTACGCTCAAAGTAGGCTCTTCTTTTAATAACAGTAATACAGAGACTCTATCTTAATAGTTACTACCTGAAATTAGGCACTCTGTGAAATGTTTTATCTGTTTTATCTCAATTAACTCTCAAAACACTTCTGTAGGCACAGGCAAAGTTAACACAAAGCTAATAATATAAAAGTTTCAGAAGCTCGCAATTTAAGCTTCTAATTTTAACTAAGCCCTGATGCCTATTTGTAATTTTATTAAAGAAGGTCCCTAAAATACCAGCTGCCAACCTCACAAAACCTAGATCCATCCTGCCTGTGAGTTTTGTGTTGTCTCCCAAGTTCTTACCTGCCCACTGCTGGCTCTTTATATACACCAAAACCTAAGGCTAAGACATGTGAAGTAATGTGCCCAAGGTCACAGAAAAGTAAGTACAAGAATTGGAATTAGAAACTAGAGCTAAACTCTACAGCCTATAGTTTCTCTAAACCAAAATGGAATGGAACCAACATATATGTACACATTGCCATCTCCACACCTCTGCAAACGTATAAATTAATACCACAGGTGGAGAACAACTTACCACAACACAAAAATCATGATTTATTTGAAAAGGTCAAGTAAATTTAATATTCTACATCTCCCTTTGTTTTAGTACGGTAGTGCCCCTTATACACAGGAGATACATTCCAACTGCCACCCCACTCCATAAACCCTGCAGATGCATATAATGGTGGATAGTGTCCTTACTCTGTATATACTGTTTTTACCTCTACATGCATACCTATAATAAAGTTTAATTTATAAATCAGACACAGCATGAGAACAATGATAAAGCAGAACAAACAACAATACAATGCAAAAAAGTTATGTGAATGTAGTTGCCCTCTCTCCCTGTCCAAATACCTTATTCTCAAAATATCTTATTTAAAGTACTTATCATTTTTCTTGTGATGTCAATCTGATAACTGATTGACAGGTAGGTTACATATAGATAAATACACTTGAAAAAGCAATAATTCCTGTCCCAGGCGGGCCAGAGCACGTCAATGCAAGCTTTCATCATGCTGCTCAAAATGGTGTGTAATTTAAAACTCACAAAATGTTTTAATTCTGGAATGCAGCATTTAGTATGTTCAGAACACAGTTGACCATAGGTAACTGAAACCTTGGAAAGTGAAACCAGGAATAAGGAACTACTGTATTTTTAAAGGTCTGCATTAATTGAAATTATACCAAATAGACACAAATTGAAAAATCGTAATATTGCTAATGATTTAAAAAAAAAAAAAACACAGATAATCATTCCTGATTTTTTTAAAAACAGCACTCAAAATAGGCAATAAAGGGAAAAAAACAGAAAATTGAGAGAAAACAGACTTTAGCTGAAATCTCCGTATCATAATAATATGATAAAGACCTAAAATGAAGCATCTTACTAATGCTTCAAGAAACATCATCAACAACAATAATATGGTCCACTATATTCACTATTATTCACCATTATACTATAAGTACTAAACAAACAACGCGGTTAGACAAGAGAAATCAATGAGAAGTATAAAAATTAGAAGAGTAGTAGAAAAAATATATATTTTTGTAAATGAGAATATACCTGGAAAACCTCAGAAATCAATGACAGAATTAACTCAAAACTTCAGTAAGGCAGGATACATAAAAAATTAAACATTGAAATCAATAGCTTCCACAAATACAAATCATAATTACTTAGAGAATACAATGGCAGAGGAAAAACCTCACTAACTGACAAGATGGAAGAAAACATCTTTAATATAAATGAAAGAACTAACACATCTAATACAAAGAACTCAAAAATTGAGGGGAAAGGGGACAGACCAAAGGCACAAGAGAAATGGCTAAAAGACATGAATAGACTATTCATAAAGATTTTCTTAAAGACTCTACACATATGAAAAGTTGTTCAACTTCATGCATAACCAGAGAAATGCAAAACTATACCATGAAATAAGCCAAAGACAAAAGGACAAATATTGTATAATTTCATTTATATGAAGAATCTAGAATATACAAATTCATACAGACAGAAGGTAGAAGAAAAATTAACAACAGCTGGGATGAGAGGTATGGAGTTTGTTTTGAATGATGAAAAAGTTGTAACACTGTATAGTGGTGATGATTGCACAATACTGTGAATATAGTTAATGCCAACACTTCTGCACATCTAAAAATGATGAAAGTGGGCCAGGCGTGGTAGCTCATGCCCATAATCCCAGCACTTTGGGAGGCCAAGGCGAGTGGATCACCTGAGCTCAGGAGTTTGAGCCCAGCCTGGCTGGCGAAGCCCCATCTCTACTAGAAATACAAAGATTAGCCAGGCCTGGTGGCGGATGCCTATAAATGCAGCTACTTGGAGGGCTGAGGCAGAAGAATCGCTTGAACCCCTGAGACAGAGGTTGCAGTGAGCCAAGATTGCGCCACTGCACTCCAGCTGGGTGACAGAGCAAGACTCTGTCTCAAAAAAAAAAAAAAAAAA